TTGGCCAGTAACTTGCTTGGATATAGGGCTACTAAGTCTGTAAAAATGAATTACATTGACTTTTATTCAATGTCACAGGGGTCAAATGTATTCAGAAACTTTTAACGGCTTCTTATGAAAAACCAGAAAGCGCAAGATGATGATATTTTGCCAGTAACATACAGGAATGATGCTATCAAGTTTGTTCAAATAAATGACCTCGACCTATATTCAAGTTTACAGGGGTTAATTGTCTTGAAATCTTTTGAACAACATCACCTGAGTAAGCAAAAGGCCCAGGATAATAAAAAGTGTCCATTAACATGCTTAGAGGAAGGGCTACCAAGTTTATTCAAATGAATGACTTGATATACGCAACTTTATATTGACTGAGTGCAGAATTTTATCGAGTTTCGTTATAGACTTCAAAAGTAATTACTTTCGAAAGATATATTTGTATAATTTCTAGTACTTTTGGGTGTGGCTGCACAGTGGACCACATCTTGACTGAAGGATTAAAAAAAAAAAACGAACACTTTTTTAGAGTTTGATTAAAATTGCATGATGATTTTGAATGAACACTCCTAGCAAACACTCTTAACAAACAAAACAGTGTGTTACGATACACAAGAAAGTATTTTGATACTATACGATAAAAAAATTGCAGGATTTTTCTTTTGTATGGAAATAAATGCATAAGTGACGCACCGACCGACGGACGTAGAGTGGACAGTTGCAATGAGGAGAATTTGAAAAGAAAAAAGTAGCAAGTTTTCATTAAATTCGTACATATTTCAATAGGCAGTCAGTCGAGTTGTGTACTCGCCTTTCAACGATACAGACGAGTTTCGATTCAACAATCGAACGTGAAAAGTTATTGGGGGTCACCTACGTGACCGACATCAACATCTACTTTTTACTTATGTACGTATGTAGGTACCCAAGTCCTATTACCGTTTGTGTTTTCAGTACTTTGATTGCTGTTAGAGGCCCAAGGGAGGGTATTTCGGGATCTCTGACTGCCGAATTATCATCCAATGATAAGTGCGAGGACTCGGCATAATATGTTTTGACAGCTGATTAAAATCGTACAATGCATGTAAAAAAAAAGTCGCGTGGCCATTTGCCTCTTGTTCATGATAGACACAATCATGTTCGCCGAGACACGTTAAATATAATCGCAGGTAGTGGAGCAATTTCTTTACTTATTAAGTTAAGTTAATTTTCTGTGATTCATTTTCAACTTTTAATATGGACCTTGGGCTACATTTTGACATTGGAATTGTTTAATATTTTTATGGTGTCCATTTTCAACGTTGAATAAGGACCTGTGTCACTTTTTGACAATTGAATATGGAAAACTGTAATACTTTTCAAGGTCCATTTTCAACATTGAATATGGACCGGGTCGTTTGCTTTGACAATTATATGCTGACACGCAAAAGAAACGCAACCTCCAATTTCCGGTTAAATTTTCAATATTTCATTCAAAAGTTCCGTTTCAGTAACATAACCAATAAAAGATACGCATCCATTCTATCGGATAATTCAGTTAATTAAGCGCTAGCGATAATCACTTTGGCAAGATAACAGTCAAGACTGAAGAGGGGTGGCCAAAAGATCTTGCCATTGGAATGTTCTGACCTCAATAACGAGTATGATCCCGTTAGCATTTGTTGCTGCTCGAGTTCTGCGATGCATAGAGTTCATAAGACGGTTTATTTGTGCCATAGGGATAGTCTGCCATTCTTCCAGAATTTCAATCTCGAGCTGATTTTGTTTGGACATACACTGTAGATAGGAAAAATGATTATAATTTTCACTTTTTATAATATTTCAAATGTCAATATAGTCAAATTTACTACAAATTAGCAGAAAGCGAAATTCATCTTTCACATATGTGGAGGTACATTCCTTACAATGTCTTTATTCTGAAGGAACATTTCTTTTTCTTCCAGTCTCAATGAATGCTAAGAAGCAGTTAATCTACTGAGACATACATGTATTCTATACTTTACAGGAATATACTTTGTAAGATAAATTGAATTTTACTCGGACATCAGAAGCGATCTTTATAATTATGCTCTATTTATAATTATGCTCTTAATATTAACCCACGCTTTATGGAGCTGGAGGACAAATGTAAACTGCATTTTTTTTTATGACAAATCCGTGTATACAAAATATTTTAGCCGCTGCTTTATATCTTATGTATCGCAGGCGCCTATGTTTTAACTTCATATAATTATGTACAGTGCTAGTACTAGTGTTTAAACTTATTTTGAAGTGTGATAATGGCTTTTAGTGACTCATAAGCCAGATTTGGCTGGATGTCGATATCTGATTGATTTAAATTTTGAAATAGCTTTTACCTTTTTTGTAAAATCTGTTGTTTTAATGTATATCGATGTGACACTTACCAAAAATAAATTGTATTGTATTGTAATAATATGTTAAGTTAAGACATTTAATCTGAAATTCCGTATTATTATGATGAAGACTATAATAGATGAAGTGGAAACAATTTTATAAATAAATAAAGTTTAACACAAAAAATCAATCCTATATGTATACGTTCATATTCATATGGTAAGACACTTTATAGTTCAGACTATAGTTTACCTGTAATTAAATCCTATTGTTCCCTAACTGACACCAAATCTCACCTAGCATACACCCAACACCTTACCTGTATATAGGAAAATACCAAATGTACGCTATGTGAGACGACACCGTCTCGGTACATGACACCGAGCATGGCCGTGTTGAAAGATTTTGTTACGCTGGCGGACAAACGGCACGACGACAGGTTTTAGCATAACGTTAATGTACCGTTTGGCTGTCAAATTGTCTTCAATGACGACTAAGGGGGAGGGGGGAGGGGGGCGGGGGATTACGGCCACTGCAGATCCAACCCCACACCATAACGCTGTCACCGCCACACCTGTCGCGTTCCGCCATGCAGTTATCGGCATAACGTTCACTAGGACGTCGACAAACACGTTGACGTCCATCTTCGATCTTCGTGGTAAAGTGTGAATCGTGACTTGTCGGAGAAGAGTACACGGCGCCACCGTTGCATAGGAAACACGTTTGGACGGTGTCGCCGGAGCCATTGGAGTCTGACGTCACGTCGATGACGGTTCTGGGTCATTCCCACTGCAACGCGACGACGCTTAATGTCATAGGCGCGGAGATACCTTAACACAGTATATCGGCTTATAAGTACCTCGAATTATTGAGATTAAAATTTCGCGCTAGTTTTTCGTCAGACTAACAATGCTTTAGCAACAAAGCCCTGATCGTGAGGTTTGCTACACGATTCATTCTGTATCACAAGAAACAGGGACTTAATATAATCTTCACTATATGCTGAAAAACTTAAAGTTATTAAGGAGTTTGAGTCGATTTCTTTACGACGAAAGTAAATATTTATATTTATTTAACACGATTCTTTGTTTCCCCTGAGATTAACTAAGTTTCAATATGGCGATCAGTCACAGGATCTAGACAATATTCCTATTTGACGTATTCAGACACTCATTTTTATATTGACAATGCTCACGTGTTTATTGATTACACTATGCCAGACCCCTGTGATAACGCTATGACATGTGCTAATACCATTCCAGTCTTAAGTCAATTTCTCTTTACTACAAACTATGTACATAGGTCAATGGAAAACGGACACAATATGTTTACCTTGTCTGTTTTTACCTGTATCTCTATTGATTGTTGTCTAGCATATTATGTACTTAAGATGTTCAATGTACTTAGCTGTTTGATCATGATCTATAATCTATCAGCATTTGGGTGCTTAGCCGGTTTGCTTACATTTTCACACTTTCTTTTTATCACTTTACGCACAGGGGCTAGACATGATGCAATATTGCCGTTCCTATATTATTATTATTATTATTATTATTATTATTATTATTATTATCAGACTTTTATTTTGTCTTGCTCCTGTGTTTTTCACATCTTTAATTAAAAAAAAATTGGATCCACAGGGACAAGACACATTGTTGTTATGGCCGTATACTATTTTATGTATATACGAGTATTGTATTCTTACGGCTATAATAATGTTCTAACTAGACCCTGTGCTAAAATCAATTTCCTATCCTCGATTTTCAGACAACAGAGAAATACATTGGAGAAGAATGTTTTTTTTCTTAAATACAGCTTCATTCGTCAATCAAGTTCAAGTTCTTTATCAAGTTTAGCTATACTCAATCAGAAAGCTTACTTTTAATCATATATGGCATACGTAGTGGCGACGAGGGAGCATATTGGATGGCGCGGCGTGCGACCTTCCGACGTGAAGTTTTTCTTTAAACACTCGATTACCATTTGTACGCTTGCTGACGTATAGCCAAAAATAAATAATTCTTTAAATTTTGTGAGAGTATGCTGCATCGTACGTCATGTTAAACCTCTAATAAACATGGCTGGAACAACCCGCCTTTTAAGAGGAGGCGGTTTCTGTACCTTGAGACATTTTGCATATCGCTGCTCATAGACCGCAAGGTTGTTGACCTCATGCATCTGATTTGCTTAGCAACATACATTATTATATAGACATGCCTTGTTATATAGACATGCATTGTTATATAGACATACATTGTTATATAGACATACATTATTATATAGACATGCATTGTTATATAGACATACATTATTATATAGACAAACATTGTTATATAGACATGCATTGTTATATAGACATGCATTGTTATATAGACATACACTGTACATTATTATATAGACAAACATTGTTATATAGACATGCATTGTTATATAGACATGAATTGTTATATAGACGTACATTATTATATAGACAAACATTGTTATATAGACATACATTGTTATATAGACATACATTATTATATAGACATGCCTTGTTATGGGCATCGCCTCGGTCACGGTTGCGCGAAGCCTGGTTTAAGCCAATCAGCGTTGTTCAGAATATAAACATCAATCTTCAAATATAACATATCTTTGTTTTCCTTTTTTTACAGCAATGTGTAGGTTGTGCCGACGTGAATATCGTTTCAATCGCTTGCGCAAATGGTCCAATCACTTGACCAGGTAAGTTGCATTAAAGGCAAAACATAACATATTTGAAGTAACATTCTACAAATTCAAGCCAAAATAGGAAAGGTTCTTTTTGATAATTGCTGGGAGGTAGGCTCGAGAATTTGTAGACGTATTTCATTATTGGAACGATTTCTGCAAACTCCACACAGTTCTTTCGTTATCTACCGTATAACCGCAAAAAACAGTCCTGGTCATTTCTGAAATATATTCCCATTAACAAGTTTAAAATGTTTTTTCTAAAGTTTTCATCAGTAGAATCAAATTAGAAAGAAAGAAAAAAACGTGTCGGGTTTGGGATTAGCGTAAGCCCGTTCCAGTATATGCCGTTAAACTTACATTTATAGAACGACTTCCGGTTCATTCGATTTACTCACACACACTTTTGTTTATGTATTCATAAATGTAGTCGCGTGGAAAGATGGTTTACCTATGTTGTGTAGATTCGTTCTGTACCCTTAGAAACAGATATACTGACTTCGTGCGATGTGCCATGCACGTGCAGGGGAGAAATCCAACTGCTCTATCCCACTGCATGTCGTAGGAGGCGACTAATATGCCCCCCTCCCCCAACCACGGCAACTAGTACCCCTCCCCCAACCACGGCAACTAATACCCCTCCCCCAACCACGGCAACTAATACCCCT